TACCAAAAATTTGAAAAAAAAAATTATTTCTTTCCTTTGCTGATCCCTCTCTGATCTGCGAGGGATCAGCGAGGGAAAATGATTTTTTGCAAATTCCCTCGCTGATCCCTCACTGATCTGCGAGGCATCAGCGAGGGAATTTGCAAAAATCAAATTGACTCGCTGATCCCTCGCTGATCTGTGAGGGATATGTTTTTTGCCAATTCCCTCGCTGATCCCTCACAGATCAGCGAGGGATCAGCGAGGGTGCAAAAATCATTTTCCCTCGCTGATCCCTCGCAGATCAGTGAGGGATCAGCGAGGGATTTGTCCTATTTTTTTTTTTTTTCGGGGCTTAACCCATTTAACTGAGATTTGTTCGGTTTTATTGGACCTTAATATATTTACCGGGATATATTGAGTTTATCGGGATATATATATATATAATATATATATATATATATTATTATATATTATTTATATTATTATATATTATTTATATATGTATATATATTATTATATATTATTTATATTATTATATATTATTTATATATGTATATATTATTATATATTATATATATATACATACCGATTTCATGGAGACAAAAAGTGGGTCACCATTTGCGATGGAAATGATCCGTCGCTGATTTTTTTTAAAAGTGGGTCACCATTTGCGACGGAAATGGTCCGTCGCTGATTTTTTTTACATTTACCTAGGTTACGGCACACTTTTTACAGATCGAGAGAGAGAGAGAAAGAGGCGATAACTTTTTACAGATCGAGAGAGAGTGAAAGAGGCGATATCGAGATCGAGAGAGAGAGAGAGGCGATATCAAGAGGGAGAGAGAGCACACTTTTCCGTCTAAAGCATCGCCAACGGCCGCCGTCCTCGCCGACGGCCGCCGTCCTCGCCGTGGCCGACCACCGCCGTCCTCCCCTTTGCAACCACCACAGCTGCGCCGCGCCCACCGTCATCCTCGTCGTCGTCGTCGCCCACCGTCAACCTCACCGTCCTCGCCGTCGTCGCCCACCATCGTCTTCACCGTCGCCGGAGTCGCCGTCCCTGTTCCGACCAGGTTGACAACAGGGTATGTATTTAGGTATGATTTATGGTATTATTTATGGTAGTTTAGAAATTTAAGATGCTTCAAATGTGTTTGTAAAATGTGTTTGTAAAATATGTTTGTAAAATGGTCTTGTATGTTTACAATTGTATGGTATGATTTAT